AAAAACTCAGTTTAAAAACGAAATTTTTGAAATATTTTGAAATCTCAAAAAGGTCAAAAAATTCTTTAAACATTTGAGTTTTTGAAAAGTTGCCTAAACCTCCTCAAAAAATTCTAGAATAATAGATCTCGGCTAGCTAATTCGAAAAACATTAATTTATTAACAATCCCCGTTCAAGATTTTCGAAAAATTTCGGTTTAAAAATAAACTTTTTGAAATATTTTGAAAGCTCATAAAAACGTCAAAAAAATTCATTGAAAATTTGAGATTTTTGTAAAGTTGTCTAAAAATCGTCAAAAAATTCTGGAATCTTGGTGAGCTAATTCGAAAAACATTATTTTATTAATGGTTCCCGTTCAAGATTTTCGAAAAACGTGGTTCAAAAATGAAATTTTTGCAATATCTCAAAAGCTCGAAAAAGCCAAAAAATTCATTAACGCAATTTTTAAAGTTACCTAAAAATCCTCAAAAAAAAAAAAACACAAAAAATTCTAGGATATAGAATCTCGACTAGCTAATTTGAAAAAAAAAAATTAGTATTCATTAGAGGGTCCCCGTTCAAGATTTTTAAAAAGCTCGGTTTAAAAATGAATTTTTTTAAATATTTCGAAGCATAAAAGGAAGGTCAAAAAATTAATTGGGAAATTGAGATTTCTGAAAAGTTGATTAACAATCATCAAAAAATTTTGGAATATAGATCTCGACGAGCTGATTCGAAAAACATACATTTTTAATAGGTGCCGAATATAATTTTGGAAAATACGGTTTGAAAATATTTTTTTAATGTCAAAAAATTGAGAATTTTGAGAAATCGACAAAAAATCCCCAAACAATTCTGGTATATAGACCTCGGCGAGCTGATTCGAAAAAAAATATATTAATGGTTTATCTATTCAAGATTTTCAAAAAACTCGGTTTAAAAACGAAATTTTTTAAATATTTTGGAAGCTCCTCGAAAGGTCAAAAAATTCATTGGAAATTTGAGATTTTTCAGAAGTTACCTAAAAACCTACAAAAAATGCTAGGATATAGAACTCGACAAGCTGATTCGAAAAACATACATAGTTAATGGTCAGCAAACAAGATTCTTGGAAAATGCGGTTTGAAAATACTTTTTTGTAAATATTTCGAAATCTAGAAAAACGGTCAAAAAATGTATACTTACTGAAAAATTGAGAATTTTGCAAAATCGACGAAAAATCCTCCAAAAATTCTGGGATGTAGATTTCCTCGAGCTGATTCGAAAAATGAACAGTGTTGACGGGCCCCGAATAAGATTGTCAGAAAATGCGGCTTAAATTTTTTTTTAATCTCGAAATCTAGAAAATCGGTCAAAAAATCAATACGGGAATTTATAGGGACATTAAAATTTGGGAATTTTGAAAATTTGCGAAAAAATTCTCAAAAAATTCTGGTATATAAATCTCGGTTAATACTGAATCGAAAAACGTCAATTTATTAACGGTCCCCGTTCAAGATTTTCGAAAAATTCGGTTTAAAAATGAAATTTTTTAAACACTTCGGAAGCTCGAAAAAATTGAAGTTTTTGAAAAGTTGCCGAAAAATCGTCAAAAAATGCTAGGATATAGATTTCGACGAGCTGATTCGAAAAACATACATTATTATTAATGGTCTTCGAATAAGATTTTCGGAAAATTTGGTTTGAAAATATTTTTTTAATATCTCGTAATCTAGAAAAACGGTCAAAGAATTTACACGGGTACTTACTCAAAAATTAAGAATTTTGCAAAATTGATAAATAATCCTTAAAAAAAATCTGGGATATAGAACTCGGCAAACTCATTCGAAAAAATTTTTATTACTGGTTCCTATTCAAGACTTTCGAAGAACTCGTTCGGAAAATAAAATTCTAGAAATATTCTGGAAGCTCGAAGAAAAGTTGCCTACAAATCCTCATAAATATCATATTCAAAGAATACTACGTATATTAAGAAAAAATTAAAACTAAAGATTAAGCCCCACCCATACCTACCCGAATGAATAGCAATGAAGTTTTCATTCGTTGGCACACCTAGGGGCGGAGCCTAATTGCAAACTCTACATTTCCTTACAAAAATTTACCATTTTAAGTGTGTTTCAAGTTTCTAAGAATAAAAAAATCATCATAATTGAAATGGGTGGGTGAGCGGGGTTTATATTTTGCCTTTTTTTTCTTAATATGTGTAGACTTCTTTTCAAAACATGAAGCTTAAAAAAACATGTTTAAAATGGAAAATTTGTATAAAGAAATTTTGTTGTGAAAAGATGGCTTTGTATACTTATTAAGAGAAAAAAGGTCAAAATATAAGCCCCCCCCCCCGCCCTATCTCAATTTTTATTCGTCGTAAGACGAGGGGTGGAGCTTAATCCTAAATTCCTTATTTCTCTGCGACAAATTACCATGTGGAATATGTTCTTACGTAATCGTGTTATACAAAGAAAACTAAATGTATTAATTAAAAAATAAAACCAGAAGAGAAGCCCCACCCATCCGTCTCGGTCTCAATCGTGATGAAATTTTTCATTCGTTGTTAAACCGAGGGTCGTAGCGTAATTGCAAAATCGATATTTCCCTACACAAATTTAGCAAACGGATTCGAAAAACACACATTGTTAATGTTCCTCGAACAAGATTTTCGGAAAATTCGTATCGAAAAATATATTTTTTTAATATCTCGTAATCTTGAAAATCGGCAAAAAATTATTTATATAGGTTTTGAAAAATTGAGGATTTTAAAACGTTGCCGAAAAATCCTCAAAAAATTCTGGGATATACATTTTAACGAACTGATTTGAAAAACATTTATTCATTAATCGTTTCCGTTCAAGATTTTCGAAAAATTCGGTTTGAAAATGTTTTTTTAATATTGCGAAAGTTTAAATTTTTGAAAAATAGCCTAAAAATCCTCAAAAAATTATAGGGCATAGACCTCGACGAGTTGATTCGAAAAAATACATTGTTAATGATCTCCGAATAAGGTTTTCGCTAAATTCGGTCCCAAAATATTTTTTTAGAACTCCTAATCTAGAAAAATGGCTAAAAAATGTATACGAGTATTGAATAATTGAGAAAAAGAAATTCTGGGATATAGATCTATGGGATCTGACTCGAAAAACATTAATTTATTCAAAATTTTCGAAACATTCGATTTGAAAATTAAATTTTTCAAATATCTCGAAAGCTGGAAAAAAGATCCAAAATTACTAGATTTTTGAAACGTCGCCTAAAAAATTCTTAAAAAATTCTAACATTAATTATTATTTTCCCTTCTAAAATTTGCGAAAAATTCGGTTATAAAATGATTTTTTTTAATATCTCATAATCTCGAAGAATTCATACTGGTACTGGAAAATTGAAAATTTTGAAAAATTGCATAAAAATCATCAACAACTTCTGGAATATAAGTCTTGACGACTGGTCCCCTTCCAAGATTTTCTAAAAGTTCGCTTCGAAAATGAAAATTTTGAAATGCCTCCAAAGCTCGCAAAAAGGTCAGGATAGTGGTGAAGGAGGCACGGTAAATACAACTGTCGACCGAATACTTGAGGAAAATACTTCCCTAAATTTAAACAGATCTCTGAATAAGCAAAGGTTCAACAAAGACTTCAAAATCATTAATGATGTACGGATGTATATAGTCGATAAATTAATTAATAATCCCTTTTGCATTTCAGTATAAAAAAGGCTAGATAACGAGAACAGGACTCACCATTAAGACTGGTTATATATCTGGTCAAAGTCATAAAAGTCTTTTCGGAAACCCTAAGGATAAAGTCGGACCTAATGAAAAGTCGGGGATTTGTGAAATTAGCTGTAAAGATTGTAATAAAAAAGAAATGACTCACCTGAAATTCGGAAGATTTGAAAATCAAGTGTTGCTCAACATATTTTTGAGAATAACCACACAATACAGGCTGATGAAAAAATGGCACACTAAATAGTGCAATTTAAGCTCACTAGTCGAGAAAAATTACAAACAAATTTCTTACATCAGTCTGACGTCCACTACTTATAAAAACAAAATGTTCTAGACATTCATGATATATCAGTTGTTTTTTAAACATTAATAAACAATAATATGGCGCCCGTTTCTACCAATATCTGGTAGAAATTTGTTCAATTTATTTATTTTTTAACACCCATGAGAAGTTTATAAATCTTCTATTATATTGATTGTTATTAAACTTTTCGCCTAATTATTAGCATTTTGTGTTGTGGAGAAACATTATTTAGTAATACTACAATAACAGCTAAGTATTTACGTTAGAAGTGGGATAAAGCCATGAATATACCTAATGCAAATGAATAAATCAGTGTGATAATCTAACTCATTATTTAACCAAAATGCGGGGAATAAGTGACACAAATATCCTAACATCGTGTATAAATAAGTTATATTAATAACTCCTTGTGGAACGAACAAAGAATATTTGTAAAAGAAAAGCAGAATTGAGCATTCTTTAAAATTTAAGTATCTACCTTACATTCTCACGAAAAGCTTTGATCTTTGCTACTACAAAACAAATGCAGTTGAAGAGTTATTCAGACAGAGCAAAAAATTTCTAAATATTTACTCGTCTTGTCCGTAAAACGCTACTTTTTTTGAATCCGTACTGCTTGAAAACGTATATAATTTAAGAACCCTATAACTTATAAAAAGTAGGTCGCAAAAAGAACTAAATAGTTTATGAGCCATTAAAGTAATCTGCTGCAACGTTACACAATCATTGGTTAATTTATTATAATAAACTAGTTTACCCTTTTTAAAATCAGAAGTACCTCAAGCATAGGCAACCAACACGTCACCTGTCGATTGGGGCGCCATCTGCACCGATACACCAATTCGGTAAAAACGCGCCAACTCTATGCCTAATTCAAAATCTTGCTTTAAGGACGGCTTTATTTTTCGCTATTATTAATAACTATTTAGCATGCATACATTGCATAAGTGCTACGCTTTAGTAGAGCCTGTGTACATGTTACTAAACAAAAAACTTACCCCCATTTGGACTCCTGACACCAGATATTCTTGGGCGCTTTGGGTAGCTTCTCCTAAACTTAGACAGATCTACAGTACGTTTCTTCCTTCGTAAATAACGCGCTAAAACACCAACTACCGCGATACTCGCAGTCACCGAGACAACTATGACCTAGAAAGAAAAAATTGTCGATAAGTTTACTCAAGTGAAAAAACGCCGTATTTACCTTCTGGGTCGTTGACAGGGTAAACCCTTTCGGTAATAGCTGCCTCAGCTTACTCAAATGTTCACTGACGGGTCCCAAATGTGTTAATAAAGACATGATAAACAATTTACTGAATTTGTTTTTAGGTTATAGTAACACACACAGGTTAGCTCCGTACGAGAACGAATATTTTTAAAACTTAATTAGCAACGTAAACTCCTTCACTTAGTAGTTAATTTGGTACTGTAAAACTGTTGTATAGCATTGTAAAATTTTGGTTAAAAATTATTTTAAACTGACATTAAATTAAAAATCCCGGCACAACGAAAGTCACTCGCGAACTGATCAACAGAGACGGACCTAGGGACTTTTCGCGTCTGCGTTTTTCCTTCGTTTCATTAAAAAAAAAGTGGTGAATGGAATACTTCTTGTAGCTACAAAAATTAACCTTGATTTGTTTATAACTCATTGATAACAATTTTCTGCGAGATAAATGGTTTGATTTAATTTTCTAGTGTTTTTTGACCGTACGGGTGGCAACGAAACGTCAACATGTAGATGACATTTTACGAAAATATCAACAAAAACTTGGAATTTTTGGGTTTATTTTTATTTTCGCGTTAAAAGTCGCACAAGAACGGTTGATAATTTTATGTTATTCATAGTTATAAAATTGACGTGGTTTTTAAAATGTCCTCCGCGAAAAGTCCTGTCGAAATTGAGGACCTTCCAGACGAGGTTTTAGAATTTATTTTGTCTCTTATTCCACCCTACAAAGATCTTCACGACTGTATGCAAGTATCAAAAAGATGGAGAAGATGTGTTCTAAGTATGCGGATTTTGTCAATTCATGTTGCTAATTTTAGATACAACAAGTGCTTCTTTGTTTTATAGATGTTGCCAAAACCAAGTTGAGGAATTTACATAAGGCCATTGCTGAGTTTGATATAAGATGGGAGACTTTAACCCCTATGGATATGGCTCCTACAATATCAAAACGGTATTCCCACACTGCTGCCATTCATGAGAACTCTATGTACGTTTTTGGAGGTTGTACATGCTCCATGACAACTTTTAACGACTTGTGGAGGCTTGACTTATCAAAGAGGCAGTGGGTGCGGCCTTTAGCAACCGGGACCTACCCATCACCAAAGGCTTGTAGCTCTCTAGTTTGTTACAAGGACCTTTTAGGTACAATTTTTTAATTTTTAAAACCAATTAAATTTCATAATTTTTTTTAGTATTATTCGGGGGTTGGGCTTATCCCCCATCATACCCACTATACCAAAGCTGGCATCTATTCAACGAACTCCACGTTTACGATATTACAGCAAATCGGTGGACTTGCATTAACACGACCAACGCGCCACCTCCCACCGCCGGACACTCGGTTTCAGTAGTTGGTAAATGGATGATTCTGTTCGGGGGCATTCATAAACCTAGCACTGCCGTTCATTGTGAAAAATCCAACGACATATGGAAGCTAAATTTAGAGACTTGGACGTGGTACACACAAGAAGTTGAAAATGAACCAAAGCCAAATGGACGCTTAGGGCAAACTCAAGTAGTGTTAGACGATAAGAATTTATTAATTATAGGGGGCTCAGGTGGGCCCACTCTTAATTACTGTGATGCATGGATTCTTAATATGGAGGGTGATGTGTGGAAGTGGAAGCAAGTGGACATGGAGGGAAAGGTCAATAAACCAAATAATATTTGGACCAATCCTGGATGTAAGGTACGTTATCCATTAAAATAAAGTCATAAAATGTACAAACAGAGATAAAGACAAATTTTTATTGTGGTTATCATTTTTTCGTCAATCATGGTGATTAAAAACGCGTGACTTGCGTTGAATTGGGTGGAAATTTTTTTGGAGGTGTGTATCCATGTAAATGACAGTGAGTGGGTTTCTCGGCCGGATAACTTTTCCCGTATTACAAGTTGTGAATGAATAGTTCTGAGTTATACCAGAAATTGATCTGAACCTTGAAAACTCTCACATACAAAACCACGTCATCAGTGGTGTATTTTTCGATATTTTGTATTTGAGTGGATAAGAAATAAGTTTTGAATAAACTATGTGTCTTATAAAAATGTATTTATCCAAAGTATGGAATTATGTCCTTTCTGTTTTACCAAGCTGTAAATGGTAACAAAATTTTGTCGATATTTTTGGTATTTACAAAATAGCTACCAAACCTCCGCCAGCCATGAAAATGTGGAAATCAATATAGATATTTCAATATTTAAAAAAATTATAAACGCAAAGTTGTAGTCCAAGATCCCAGGGCCCCCAGACGTTACTTATTTTCTCACAAATAAAATGTATAGGATAAAGTAGTATTGGTATATACCTTGAGTGTATGCATACCTACTAGCTTGGGGCGACGGCCAATTTACAGGTACCAGGTGCTAAAGATAGGTAAAAACAGTACTTACATTCCTCAAAGTTTCAGTACTGATTTTTACGGTTGTTTTAGAAAATATTGTTGAAAATTAATAATTAATACAGCCAGATACTTTCCGTCGGCGGTAACTTTTACCAGAAGTTTTAAAGCTCCCAAAAATAATGTAACTTTACTTATAATCTTAGGGGCCAATTCCAAGTTGGTGGCGCAAGTCACTGGTGCAGCGCAACTTTATAATGCTAATTTGGGTATCAAATGCTGGTTGCTAGGGGTGACGGAATAAACAAGCGCAATTTTTCGAGATAAATTGCGCCAACTTGCACTGCCTACTAGAGGTGCCGCAACTCCATGGTGCAAATTTCAATGGAAAATTCGACAAAACTGCGTGTGTTGATTCCGTCACCCCTAGCAACCAGCATTTGATACCCAAATTGGCATTATAAAGTTGCGCTGCACCAGTGACTTGCGCCACCAACTTGGAATTGGCCCCTAAGTCTGATTTTTATATATGACATTCAGGGAACTATTTCAATAATTTTTGTAAGCAGCCAGACCAATCGGAGGGGCCAAGCATTCCCACAAAGAGTCGCTATGTGTATGAGCGCAAGCGTGATTATTAGATAGTTTTATAACATAGCTTTATAAAATTTATATTATTAATAGTCTAATAGGTAGTAAAATTTTCAGGCTTAATTATAACAATAATTATAGCATAATTGAATATGAATTCATTTGAACTCGTAATGAAAATTATGAACAAATCGTTGTTGGGTTATGAAAAATATTTTTTATTGGATGTACTCGAGAAGTTTATGGTTTAAACAGCAATCAATTTAATAAAATAATAGTTTATTTGTATGTTATGATAAGCAAAAATACAATATATTTATTAACAGGAAATTTCAAAATAATTAATTTAAATAAATATTAATCATTATTCATCAATAAACTGTGATTTTTTTTTCAAGTATCATTGTCATCATCATTGAAGTTTGATAAGTCATCATCAATCCAATATTGGTATTAAGAAAAAATGGACAAAATACAAGTCCCGCCCACCCACCCCTTCTCAATTGTGACGAATGTTTCATTCATCGTGAGCTGAAGGGCGGAGTTTAGTTGCAAAATCCTCATTTCTCTACAAGAAAGTACCATATGAAACTGAACACAATTGAGATTGGGGCGGGTGGGTGGGGTTTAATCTTCGTTTTTTTTAATATAGCGTTTTCTTTCAACAACAGGATAGTTAACCATGTTTTTAGTTTGTTTTTGGTGAAAGAAGACTTCGTACATTAAGAAAAAATGGACAAAATACAAGGCCCGCCCACCCACCCCTTCTCAATTGTGACGAATGTTTTATTCATCGTGAGCTGAAGGGCGGAGTTTAGTTGCAAAATCCTCATTTCTCTACAAGAAATTAACATATGAAATTTATCACAATTGAGATTGGGGGGGGGGGAGGGGGTGAGATAGTTAAACATGTTTTCACAAATATCTCTCTCCCGCTCAACGGCTCAAGCGGGCGAATAATGACCTTGCGCATGCGCTCATACACAAAGCGACTTTTTGTGTGTCTGGGGGAATGTTTGGCCCCTCCGATTGGTCTGGCTGCTTACAAAAATAATTGAAATAGTTGCCTGAGTATTATATATAAAAATCAAGACTGAGATTATAAGTCATGTTACATTATTTTTTTGGGAAATTTAAAGCGTCTGGTAGAAATTACCGACGACGGAAAGTGTCTGGCAGTATTAATTATTAATTTTTAACAATATTTTCTAAAACGTAAAAATCAGCACTGAAACTTTAAGAAATGTAAGTACTGTTTCTACCTACCTTTAGAACCTGGTGCTTTTAAATTGGCCGTCGGCCCAAGCTACCAGGTATGCATACACGCAAGGTATATCTAATTCTACTTTATCCTATACATTTTATTTGTGAGAAAATAAGTAACGTCTGGGGACCCTGGGTTCTTGCTCTATTAGTTAAACTAACTGGATGCAATTACTCAAGTTATTACGATGATGTGGCGGCAAATTTAAATTATTTGAAAACAAAGTGCGCAGCGTGGGGGCGCGTAGCGACAGCGGCGCGAAGGTCATCTCGTGAACGTCTATTGCCCTAATCAGAACCACACCATGCGCAAAGGATTTTAAACACTCACATGCCTGCAGCTTACATACATCCTCGCAAACAAGGTATCCTAGTAGACTGGTAGTCCGCAAGGATTGAAAAGTCGGTATTTCAGATAAATATTCACGTGGAAACGACGAGGAGAGAAAAACCTTGAATATGAGTGTGCGGGCTCGTCATTCCGCCAACGCCCCGATTTCATGCGATTTTTTCATTTAGGGTCAACATCTGAATATTGATTAAAGAAAATTGAGTACCTATTATAATTGCAAGAAAAGAAATTAGTAAATTAAATTATGTCAAACTCTAACAAGAATTTCAAACAACAAAGAATTTACTTAATATTAATTATGCATAAATGTAAGTTATTGTTACGAAATAAACCCATACGCCGCCCCGGTATGACGCTTATGGGTTTTCTAATGTGCGTCGATGATGGGTGACTCATCGTCGGTGACCGCGGCCGGGCGGCGTTCGCTAAAGAAAAGCCTGGAAGCGGAAGTCGCGATGGGTATTCCAGAAAGACCTCGATCACGAAACCTCTAGGAGAGTATGGGTTTAAATAGAGGCCACCTTCGGGAACGATTATTATTATTGAGTTGGTTCAGTCAAGACAGAGTCCAGTCAATTTGCGCAGGAATTATTTTGTACATAATTGCTAAGATAAGACTAATTTGGGCAAATGACATATCCTCTGAGAAAATAGGGGGCAAATCTAAAAAATATGAATGCAATGATAAATCACAAGTAAAACCTCATCATATTTTGCACATTTTGGGTAGAATTTAGCCCTCTATTTTCTTTGAGGGTATGGTATTTGCCAAAATTAGTTTTATCTTAATAAAAGTACTAGCCCCGCCCGCCCACCCACCCCCCATTTTCTCAGAGGATTATGTCATCTGCCAAAATCAGTCTTATCATAGCAAATATTAGTATTTTGGCAACTGACATACTTTCAAGAAAATAGAGGGCGGGTGGGCGGGGCTAGTCCTTGCTAAGATAAGATTTATTTTGGCAAATGACATATCCTTTGAGAAAATAGAGGGCAGGTGGGCGGGGCTAGTACTTGCTAAGATAAGACTTATTTTGGCAAATAACATAACCTCTGAGAAAATAGGGGGCGGGCGGGCGGGACTAGTGCTTGCTAAGATAAGACTGATTTTGACTCTATTAATCTTGTAAAAACTTGTTAAATTTAAAAGGTGTTAAATTGCAAATTTCCATAGTAACGAGTTAAATTCCTAAATCTGATTGGGTGTTTATTTTTTATGTTTCATTCTACTTCAGGAGCGAGGGAAGTTCTGTTGAAACAACTTTCGACCAATTTTTTTTAATCGTTTTTGTCACTTGTTCTGTCGTTTTTTATTAGCTTTTTCGCTGTGCTTCTATAGCTTTTGTTTGATGCCCTTTCGTGTCGATTTTTGGCCTTTTTTTCTTGTCCTTTTTTATTCCTTTTTTTTTTGTCATCGCCCTTTCTGCCGCTTTTTTAGTAATGTATCTCTTCTTTTTTTCGCTTTTTGCAGACGTTTTTAATTTTTTGACTTCCTATTTTCAGTCGTATTTTTTATTGTTCTTTGTTGCATTATCTTGTAGATTGTTCTTGTGGACTTCTTTACTGACCTTTTTTAACTTTTTGTCGTTTTTGTGATGTTTTTTAGCCGCATTTTTTCGATATTTTTCATTGGTTTTTGCCCCCTTTTTATTAATATTTTTTGTCGCACTTTTTTGCTACCCTGTTGCCAGTTTTTGATCACATTTGATTCTTTATACCGGGTGACCAGAAATAACTCAGTCTGTTGGCAGTACTTTTTAAACAAAAATGTGAACTTTTCTTGCGTTTACGTTGGCATGACGGAAATAATCGTGTGACAGATATCAGTCGTGACCAGAGACTTTAATATGTATAGACCGGCTATGTGGCCTAAAACTTGAAGCCGGCAGTCGCCATATTGCTTAGTCCCAAAATCGCGCCAAATTTAAAATCTGGACAATTTCAAAGTTATAAAAACACGAATCTTAACAAGTTTATTTGGGATAGTAAGGTTGCGAAAAAGAGGTTTTTATACAGTAATACACAATATAAAGTAAAAACATATATATGTTATATTTATTATTGGCCTTTGAACAAAATTAATTTATTATATTTTTGCCGAACATTTTCTCCTCTAATCACTTCTGTTTTTAATGCACATAA